ACACACACGCGCACACATTCCCACAGCGCGCTAAGAGCAAATGGTTCAATCCTTCTGTTTTTTTACATTACTGAACAAAATCCAAGAATGAGAAAGTGAGAGGAGAGAGAGACAAACTCCCTCCCAACATGGTTTACCAGAACCACACCTGATCCGCTCCAAACTCCTATTTTCATAACATTTGGTTTTACTGACAATGCTCTGAGCTATGTGCTGTAATAAAAACAAAACAAAACAAAAAACTACTGGTAATACGTAGATCTTTGTAGATCATCACAAATAATCTGTTAAAAGGACAGCATTCAGATTTTCTGTCTAAATATTGATGTGTATGAATCTGAAATTCCTTCAACTACACATCACTGGTCCCAGCAAATATCGTTGCACTTCACCAAAAACCTTTTCTTCCAGCTGTCCCTCAGTGGATACTGCATGGTCCTGAAAAGCATTCAATATGTTGAAGTATTTRAAGCAAGTCTTAGTCAGCACTAACTATCTTGCACTTTGTGGTGTGGTAGTTTAATGTAACACGAAGYAGACACTCCACTATGTCTACAAAAAGGATTTGTTTTTTTGCGTTTTCATTCACCATCCTTAATTTGTTTTCTTATGCTCTGTTTTTTTTTTGTCATTTTTATGTACAAGCATGTCCTGTTTCCTGTTTGATTTATTTTTCTGACAGCATTACAGGCCTAGTTTGTTTACTACAGTAATTTGGGTAATTTTCTGCCTTTTCATAAGGATGAAAACATTTCTAGGAACAGTACTGTGTTTACTTTTAAAAACCACAAATAAAAAAGATTTTTGAAAATAAATAAAATTTTAAAAAATAAAATAAAAACTCTGTGTGGACAAGGCCTAAATCACTTCTCGGGAATTGTGTGAATACAGTGTTTGTCAATTTAGCAGGTGCCAATGAACAAGCCTTAAAAGCCAATCTGTGCCCTGGTTTAAAAATCGGCAAAATCAGACATTCCCATTTCTAAAGCCTCAACAAGAGAGATTTCTGCCTTAAGAACATCCTACAAAAACATCAGGTTTTGTCTTTGAACATCCACATATTATTTTGTTACAAAGATCTTGATGTTATACTGCAATCTTGACTGTAAACTTTCTCGGATGGCAGCAGTAAAAACTCAGCGAAAAGACTCCGGATTGCCTCAGTCAGAAAAGATGTAGCTTACAACTTGATCTGACCCTGTACAAGTCATTGAGTTCCTGTACAAATGTTCTACCCTGCTGCAGGTGACTTTTCTCTTCAACATGGTGATCTGTACTATTCCAACAAATCTACTCCAAATCAGACATTATTAATAACAGTCACGTAGCGAGAGCACCTACCAATGTTTTGATAGAAGTCACAGATTTCAGCTTCAGCAGGAGTTGCTGGCTCTGTAAGAAAAATGTATAAAAAAGGTCAAATGTGCTGTGTATGATTACAAGGTTCATTCATAATTACTGAATCATATTTTTGCAAAAAATCAGAAATAAAGACCAATGGGCCTCATGCAAGAACATGTTCGTATTCTTATCCTAAATTTCTCTTACTTTTGTTCGTACAAAGGGTTC